CCTTTGTGGAATGAGTAAGTGAAATGAAAGTTGGCATTAGACTCTAATAAACATTAGATCTTCATACCCATAGAGTCAGGTCTGACCCTGAGCACCCAGTCAGGCTCTGGAACATCCTAGAACATTAGAGTGAGACCTCATGTGGGACTGACATACAGAGTTGAGAGCAGACACCCAGAACCCACACCTCCCTGCCTCCCTCGCTTTGTGTTTGAAACAGTTTGTTCTGTGCTCTGCAGAGCAGTGAGCATGGGTAAAACTGCTTTTGCCTCAGAACCAAAGTGGGTGTCTGAAATCTGTTCCTCTCCCCCAGCTTCACGCTGCCGAGGAGGCTGGTGCCAGAGGTGGTCAGAGGCTGCTCTACAGAATCCGAAAAGGACAGGCTGAGCGGTGGCAGGAGGTTAAGTGCAGGAGGGACAGCCTTTGCTGTCCATGCAGGGAGCAGGAAGAATGGCCAGGGCCCTGAAAGAAAGAGCCATTTGGCATATCAGCTGCCAGGCCCTGGGAACATGGCCAAATTCCCCCATCACCTCCTGCCAGTCCATAAAACCGCCTTAGAAAAATCCAGTGCTAAACGTGAGCCTCTTCAGTGCCTCGATGTGCAATTATGTTTTGCAAATAACCCTCGAGTCCATCTCTCTGAGGGGATTACAATGCCTTTGGTCCACAATGGCTTTTGAAGTTTGTTTCAGATGTCAGAGGAAATAAGAGTGGTGTCAGGTAACTGCATGAGGTCCATGAAGGACACAAGTGATGGTGTCTTTCCTCACTGCGAGGAAAGACAGTTCCTTCTCCTCTTCACACAGCTTCCTTGGGCTCAGGGAGAGTGTGGGCTGGTTTGCAGGGGGAATGTAAGACCAGCATGCCGGTGGATCTGGAGATACCAGTTTCTGAAATAGGATAAGGATCCCCTTAGGTTTCTGGGGTGTCCGTGTGGTCTAGAGGGCAGAGCACATAGAGAGGAACCCCCAAGCCGTTGGGGTCCTCGTAGGCAGATGAGCCCGTTACTTCTACCAGCTCATCCCATCCTCACAGCAACCCCATGAGGTTGTGCTCACAATTCCCATTTTATAGGCAAAGAAACTCAGATGCAGAAAGATTAAGTGATGATCCATGGTCACATGGCTAGTTAATGCAGTGCCAGGACTTGAACTGAGGTTTGATGGACCAGATCCCATGCTATTTAAACTACAGGGTTTGACTGGTGAGCATGCAGGGGGAGGCTAGAGAATCTAAATTTAATGTGACAAGTGTAGGGAGGCCATAGGTTAGTGGCTATAGAGTAGAGAAGTATATTGGTTAAAGCAGCAGGCAGCCATGAATAGGGTGAGTTATTGAGATTCTCAAGTTCAGAGTGTGAATTACCTTCTTAGTGGAGGGGGTGGCATGAGCCCCTGATATGAGACACTGAGATTCCTGGCCTTTGGGGAAATAACAGTGACTTACATTTGTTGATCATTTGAGATGTAGTGGGTACTGTACTGGAAGCTTCTATACAACTCAATGAGGAAATACTATTATTGCCAACAGCATGGTGCAGGGGTGAAAAGCTTGGAATTTTGAAGGCAGGTAAACCTGATTCACTGCCTATGTAACCATGGAGAAGTCACTCTACTCTGAATCTATTTCTTCATTTCTAAAATAGGGATAAGACCAGTTTAGAAAGTTGGTTGGGGATGGAATTAAAGGATAATATCACCAAAAAAAGTGTTAGCCACATGACTGTCATATATAGTAAGCACTTCAGTCATGTTAGCTGGTGTAATTATTACGATTGCCATACCCATTGTACAGATGTGCAAACTGAGGCTTAGAAAGGTTAAGTGCGTTTTCCCAAGGACACACAATTAGCATTGGTACCTGGGTGGTCTGACCTCAGAAGTTACACTGCTGTTCCTCCAGGGAGAAGATCTTAGTGAGGATCACAAGAGAGTAATAGGAGAGATTGAACTTGGATTAAAGTATTGCAAGACAGGAGGGTGGGGATGCACAAGGCAATGAGTTTGCACATACTCTTCCCAGAAGGCCTGTGCCAAACTCTTGGCCAACGAACTGCTATCCTTATAATTATTTTTCTCCTTCATAAAGTTCCCAATGCAGCCGCGCCCTCCTCTCTATGTGGAGAACCAGATAAAACTGCATTTGCATACAATTCTGCCTTGTGCACAAAGCTTCTCCTGGGTACACTGGTCATATCCAGCTCATAGAACATGGAGCAAGGGGGTTGGAGCATCCCACATACCATCAACTCCTACATGGGACATCTTTGACCTTCACCTCCACCAATACCAATTATTCCAAGAAAGTTTGTGTATGGGAGGTTGTCTCTGAGACTTTTTTAAAATTAGGTTTTAGCTGTGCCCTTAGCATATGTCCTCCTGAGAACGTTCTGAGTTCCTTGTGTGCTCAGTGCAAGAAGACGCTGGTCCCATTGCCTTTAGTGGCCATACTGTAACTGGTGACTGGCTTCCTCAGAGGCATCTTCGCTACTTATTACATTTCTTCTGTAATTAAGTTTGGAACTTTTCAGTCCCCTTCAAGAGGCACATGACAGCACATAAGGTTGATGAATATAACTGCCTTCTGACTTCACTTCTGTGCTCTCTCCTGTGGGTGGGTTCGTTATGTTGTTACCTTTTTTGGGTATTTAATTGAGGTTCTATGGATACATGTTGGGGCTTATAGGGCTCCTACATCTCACTATAAATAAAAGACACATTAAATGTATTTTGGGTGTTTGATGGAGAAGGGGTTCCTCATGATAGTAGGGTGATGATGTTGAAAGGTTTTAGTTTTGGGACATGACATTCAAGAGCCATACAGAACACAACCTCAGATACTGAATTCTTCCCTTTCACTTTATGTTTAAACCAAGGACAGTCTCCTTAGGCTTCATCCACACACATCCATCCACTCATGCATTTCCTCACCCTCCATTAGCTGATGTGTCATGTGCCAAGCCTTCTGCCAGATTCTGGGGACAGAGAGATGAGGACAGCAGAATCTCTGCCCTTGAGTAGTCCACAGTTCTGTTGAGGATGATTTAAAATGATCATCAATCCAAGAATGTTGGAATTCTCCAAAAGCTTCTGTAAAGAAAAAGATAATGACCCAAAGTCTTTAAACCTGTTTCCCATCTTAATTGACTTAATTAGGTAAAATTCATAGAACCGTAACGTTGGCAGGGGCGCAGAAGGCATTTGTTCCTGTTTTTATTTCTCTCTCTCTTCAGGCTACACTGCACTCAAATTTATCCCCCCAACCCCCTGCATTTTGGAAAAGGGGATTATAATTTCGAAGAACTATAGTTTTTGGCCCATTCAGATAAAACTTTCTGTTCAGTGTGAGCCCACAGCAAAAATTATGCAGACTCGTTCAGAATTAAGATATACAGCTACAAAGTATTTTTCTGAAAGATATGAATGGAGTTGTTCACTGTTAACACACACACATACACACACACACACACACACTGGAGTCCCCATATTCATACTTCCAAGTTTGTAGTGCACTTGGTACATACAGAATGCAAAAGAAAACATGCATGGCTGCAGTACAGTGAGGATCTTTTGAAAATTCTTTTAGTTCCCAGAAAGAAATAAGTCTCAGCATTGGTCAAATCCCGATTTGTTGTAACACAGAGGCATACCTTGCTTCACTGGCATCTTTGCACCCGGGGTTAAGAAGGTCTTCAGGGATCCCAAGAAGACTGTGGTTTGTGTTGAAAAGGGTGCTGGACATGGAATCAGAGCCTGAGTGTGGATACTCACTAGCTACGACCATTTTGAGCCTATTTTTCCCACTGCTAACAATATCCCAACTTCTGAGGATCCTCATGCAGCTTTGATGAGTTAAGGAGTTAGAAGGTAATTTGTAAGTTGTTCAGCTGAATATATCAGCTGCCTTTTTCAAATGGAAACTTGTTCTCATGATTAGACCATAGACCTGGGGAGGTGTTAGGACTATTAGAAGCCACTCAACCCAACACAAGTTACCACCAACTTTCCAGAATAAGAGCAGCCAGCAGCTCCACCTCATGTTTGGAATAAAGTGTAAGCCTCTGAACATAACCCCCGAGGCCATATGCGATGGGGTTCCTGCCAAGCTCTCCAACATCATCTTATCCCCTCTATTTCACAAACCATAATGCATTTATCTGTAGTTCCTGGCATAGTCAAGATGTATTCTCAGGGCTCCTCTGACTCTAATATTCATCCGTTTCCTCTTTTCCACGCCTGGATTCTCCTTCAGCATTCTCTCGTGCCTCTCTCAGCCCCCCAGTTTATGGAAGTTGCTCTTTCTCAAATTCCCAGCAGATCTATGAAGACAGTGGCAATGTCTGTGCCTGCCGTGTGTATCATTTTTCTAAGCTGTTATTGCACAGTTAGGTGCTCACTCAGTATTTGTTGATTGACAGATAGTTGTCTACCCAGCACTTATTATCCTCTATATTGCACAGGAGTCTAGATTTCAATGGACAGAAATTCCACTACAATTGGCTCAAGTGAACATGGGGACTTGCTGGCTTATAAACACACAGGTCTAGAGTAAAGCGGGCATGGCCAGCTCCAGGTGGTCTGAGTGTCTTGAGGAATTCATCTCTATTTACTGATGTTGCTTTGTCTCTGATGGCTTCATTTCTCAGCTGTGAGTCTGGGGGCCAGAGAGTCCATTCTCTTGGAAGCACATGGATTCAAAGGGGCACGGTGGATGGGATGAAAGAGAGAAAAATGAGGAGCATGGATGATGAGATGACAAGAGTAACAGAAGTTCCTCACTGTATCAGGGTGTGGGCTCCAACTTCTCTCATCTTTGTATTTTCAGTATCTCGTCCAGGGTGGTGCGTACCGTAGGTGCTCAGGAATGTTTGAGAATGAATAGATACGTGACTTACTTCCCCTCACTTCTAGGAAGGAGCTTCTGTTAGCCTATAAAGACAGATGGTGCTGCATAAGCTGCCTTCTGCCTCATCTTGCTTTTCTTTTTTTACCTGTTGGCAGGATCCGACGTCTACCTTCTTCCAATTTGGAGCGTCCATCCAGCAACAAGCCACGGTCATGATGAAGATCATGCAGGATTACGATTGGCACGTCTTCTCCCTGGTGACCACAATCTACCCTGGTTACAGGGACTTCATCAGCTTCATCAAGACCACAGTGGACAACAGCTTCGTGGGCTGGGACATGCAGAACGTGATCACCCTGGACACCTCCTTTGACGATGCCAAGACGCAAGTCCAGCTAAAGAAGATCCACTCTTCTGTCATCTTGCTCTACTGCTCCAAAGACGAGGCTGTCCTCATTCTAAGCGAGGCCCGCTCTCTGGGCCTCACCGGGTATGATTTCTTCTGGATTGTCCCCAGCTTGGTCTCGGGGAACACAGAACTCATCCCCAAAGAATTTCCCTCAGGACTCATCTCCGTTTCCTATGATGACTGGGACTACAGCCTGCAGGCAAGAGTAAGGGACGGCCTGGGCATCCTGACCACGGCTGCGTCTTCCATGTTGGAGAGTTTTTCCTACATCCCTGAGGCCAAGGCCAGCTGCTACGGGCAGACGGAGAAGCCAGAGGCCCCGCTGCACACCCTGCACCAGTAAGAGGCGGCGCTTTGCTTTGTCTCTCTCTCTCTGCTTGGGGTCAGAGTTGTGTGTTTGTTGCTGTTGTTTGTTTGTTGAAGAGCAATACGTACTCACTGCTGAAAATGTGAGCTGAAAATCAGGAGTGTTGTATAGTGCTCACGGGATTATTTTGTTTGATTCTGCACTTCTCTCCCCTTTTCATCTCTTCTCCTCTCCTTTTGTTTTTAAGTAACTTCGTATATCGTTTCCTGAAGCTTAACTTTTTTACTTAATATTCCATGAAAACTTACACTTGAGATCTGTCTATCCATCAATTCTCTATCTATAGATACATTTCAAATATGTATGTGCATATATCTAGATACATGTGTGTACATACGTATGTATGAATATATAGATATGTGTGTATGTAGAATACACTTATAAACATACACATATGAAAGCTTACATCCTTTGTAATTTACTCATTGTATTCTTCAATAGGAATCTACCATGATTCATTTATCCAACCTTCATAATGATAGAAATTTAGGTTCTTTTAATTTTATTTTTTTTAATTAGAAACTAAACTGCAGAGGTAATCATCCTATGTGTCTCTTTATGCACATATGCAAGTATTTCTCTAGTGTTGATTCCAAGAAGCAGAATTTGGGGGCCACAGAGTATGTGCATTTTAAAATGTAAGTGTCTACTGCCAGATTGTCCTACAAAGCAACTATATCAATTTATATTCACACCAGCCATTTGTGAAATCACTTCACTTCCCACGTCCTCACCAACATGTTAACATTTGGAAAACTGCCCACAGTGGTGCTCCTAGTCCTTGGATGAGTGTGTAGCTGAATTTCTCCCCTTCTTCTGTCCTACATATTTCTATAGGGCACTGGAAATCTTGCAAACACGCTTTTAAAGCTGCATTATATTCCTTCACATGAATGTATCATAATTTATATAACGACTCCTACTTTGGTGGACTTTAAGTTAAGTATGTTTAGGAGAAGCATCATTGTTCTTTGTGGCCCATCATTAGGACTTGGCTGTTGAGAGTTAGAAGCATCACACTTGTACATCCATTTTGCATGCTTTTACCTGCTGTTTGCTGATTTAACCCATGTCCAACCTCAGGTAATGAGTAGTATGGCACCGGGATTAAGGGACAGGACTCTGGAGTTGGATTTGTCAGGGTTCAAATCATGTGTCAACCACTTTCTTAAAAAAAAAAAATATATATATATATATATATTTTATAAAAAATATATATATTTTTATAAAAAATATATATATTTTTATAATATATATATATTTTTTATAATATATATATTATATATATATATAATATATATATATATATATTATTGATTTTTTACAGAGAGGAAGGGAGAGAGATAGAAAGCCAGAAATGTAGATGAGAGAGAAACATCGATCAGCCGCCTCCTGCACACCCCCTACCGGGGATGTGCCCGCAACCAATGTACATGCCCTTGACCAGAATCGAACCTGGGATCTTTCAGTCTGCAGACCAACGCTCTACCCACTGAGCCAAACCGGTTTCAGCATCAACCACTTTCTATTTGACTTGGACAATCATTTTAGTTTTCTGGGCCTCAGTTTGTTGGAGAGTGTTGATAATAGCACTTACTTTCTAGATAGCGGTTCTAAACTTCATTATGCATGAGAACCACTAGGAGGACTTGTTAAATCAGCTTGCTGGGTCCCATGCTCTAAGACTCTCATTTAAAAGCTCTGGGCTGAATCCTAAGACAGTCCTTCTTTTTTTTTTTTAATATATTTTATTGATTTTTTACAGAGAGGAAGAGAGAGGGATAGAAAGTTAGAAACATCGATGAGAGAGAATCATCGATCAGTTGCCTCTTGCACCCCCCCCCCCCCACAGGGATGTGCCCACAACCAAGGTACATGTCCCTGACTGGAATCGAACCTGGGACCTTTCAGTCCGCAGGCCGACGCTCTATCCACTAAGCCAAACCGGTTTCGGTCTAAGACTGTCATTCTAACAAGTGCCTGGGTGATGCTAAGACTGTCATTCTAACAAGTACCTGGGTGATGCGGGTGCTGCTGGTCTGGGAGTCATGCATTGAGAACCACATTCTAGGTGTTTTGTGAGGATGAAATGAGGTGATGCATGAAAAGTGCTGCTCAGCACAGTGCCCAGCACCTAGTAATGAGGGAGTGACTGTCAGAGTGATCAGTGAGGTTTTTCTGGTCACCAGCAATGAGGGTCAGCAGATTAGTTTGGTTTATTATTAGCAGAGTAATGCGTCTCTTTAAAAAAGGTTCTGGGAGGTTTTAGGACTTTGAATCTGCTCCAGGACAGGGATTATCTTTGCACATGTGCATGTATGTGTATATACCTTTGCACATGTGCATGTATGTGTGTGTGTGTGTGTGTGTGTGTGTGTGTGTCTAAGGTGCATAAAATTGACATAATCCTGAACAACTCTTGAATTAAGAAATCATGACCCTTTGAAATTTTCCCTTTCCCCACTCTCCCCTTTTTTATTTATTTTATTTTATTTTTTTAAAATATATTTTATTGATATTTTACAGAGAGGAAGAGAGAGGGATAGAGAGTTAGAAACATCGGTGAGAGAAAATTATCGATCAGCTGCCTCTTGCACACCCCCTTCTGGGGATTTGCCCGCAACCAGGGTAGTACATGCGACTGGAATCGAACCTGGGACTTTTCAGTCCACAGGCCAACACTCTATCTGAGCCAAACCGGTTTCAGCCCTCTCCCCCTTTTTAATGATCTTGTTTCTATATTGCTACTTTCAGCATTTTAAATAATCGTTCTAATAGCAGGAAGGAACAGGGGTAAATCCGAAGGAAATATGGGAGCCTCTCACAGAGGCAGGATTGCTGCCAGCCCAAAGACAAGCGAAGGGCTGATGATCCTCACTCTTCATTACAAGAAGTGCCCTGCAGCTGGGATATTCAGAATGTATAATTTGGATGGAAACACAACTCAATTTTAAGGCAATTGAAATAAAATATATACAGGAAAAGGAATTTGAGAAGGATATTCTGATCTCCTTCCAGTGACCACCCTGAATTCCATTCCTAAAAGAAATGCTACTGCTGTGAACACAGTCGTGCTATCTCCAGGAGTCGTGCTTTTGAGGGCGGCAATTTCGTAGCTGATGTTTCAGCCCCAGAGGAGGGATGCGTCAGGTGTGGTAGGTTATCATCTGCCGCCTGGTGTTTAATGAAACCTTTTCCACTTATGGAATGCGGTGGTGCCACTGAGTGTGTGGGGCTGGAATCCAGCACAGGCAAGCCCCTGAGCACACTTCCTCATCGTCACAGTGCTCTAAGCATGCCGGGAGAGTGGCCCCTGTCCAAGGCAAGGTGAGCACTGGGGCCTCGAGAAAGCCCAAGGAAGGCGGTTGTTAAGGAAAGGATTAAGGGGACTGTATCTTTCCATCCTCCAAAAATCACCTCTCCCATCCAATGGACCCTGTGCTAGGCCTGGCATAACCTTACCCCTCAGAGAATGTACAATCTAATGAGGACAGGAGAGATTTGTCTGAAGACAAACTCAGATAACAAGACCCTCCCCCCTCTCAATATTGAAAAAGAATACTATGGCAAAGTATGAAGTCCAATAAAATTCCCACCAGGGTACTTACCACAGAGAACAAAGGTTAATACATCACAAGTGTTTCACAGTTTTAAAAGAAATAACACAGCTGAAACAGGTTTGGATCAGTGGATCAGTGGATAGAGCATCGGCCTGCAGACTGAAAGGTCCCAGGTTTGATTCTGGCCAAGGGCATGTACCTTGGTTGCAGGCACATCCCCGGTAGGGGGTGTGCAGGAGGCAGCTGATTAGTGTTTCTCTCTCATCGATGTTTCTAACTATCTCTTTCCAGTCCTCTCTGTAAAAAATCAATAAAATATATTTTTATAAAAGAACAACAACAAAAAAGAAATAACACATTACTGATAAGGTAGAAATCCTGCTTAGATTGTACAAAGAAATCCTCATTAAATTGTACATTTTCTGAGGGGCAAGGTTATACCAGGCCTAGCACAGGGTCCCTTCCTCTCCATGGGAGGGCAAACACTACAATAAACGTGGTGCCATTCAAATCCATGTCCATTTGTTGTTGAAATATGTGCAATCATAGACCCAATATAGTTCTTTCTTAGGTACCAAAATGGTATTTAAAGTTTTAGAATTTTCTTTACCTCAACCATATGGTTTCAAGATTGATCTAGGAAGATACATAGCATTCAACCCTATTCCTCTCAGTTGCTGTTTTGTATTCTGTTGAAGAAGTTCTTTAAGCATCTGTGATTTAATCACCGGCTTTGATGGACATTTGGTTGCTGGGTGGCTGAAGGCAGAGAACAGAGTTGGACCCATCACTCACTCAGTGGAGCCCAGAAATCTGGAGTGAGGGGTTTTCATGCTAAGCTTTAAAAGTTACATTTCAGTTGGGTTAAAAAGTCTTCCTCTGTAAAGCATCTTGTAAAGAAATAGCTCTCACTCCTCCCACAATGCAGAGGGCAGGAAGCAGCTGGCTTCAGAAGAGCAGCAGGCACAGCCACAGCTGATGGTTTCACGATGCGTTACTGAGAGACTCTGGGTCTCACTCTGACTGGCTGAGCACATCTCCCAGCCAGTGGTGATGTCCCTCGGTGGTCCTGTGGTTACTGTTCACAATCGTATGCACAGAGCTGGTGTAGTTAGGCTATTGCAGCAGTGACTTATTGCTAATGATGCTGGACCAGTACGAAGGAGGGCTTGCTCTGGGGGCGTGTTGATCTTACCGTGGACCTGTTTCCATTTCTGGATTCCGGAATGCAAAGAGGAGAGGAAAGGGGGAAATAGTCTTTAGGTTGAACATTCCTGGTTTTACAGAAGGCACTCTGAAAAGAGCAGTCAGCATTTTCCAAAGTTCAAAAATAGCTCAGCCATGTTATGTAACCTCCTCCTCGCTACTGCAAAGTTATTAAACATCTGTTCCTTCGCCAAGCACAGAGTTTT